CCCCCGAAAAAAGAGAAAGAGAGAGTTCTGAATCACAATATAGACAGCCTCGAAAATTCAGAGCCCCAGCGCTTACCCAAAGGGCTGTACTTGAGGTCATTCAGCAGAGAGGTAGTTGCTGCCTCAAGGGCAGGAGAAACAGGCTCGAATACATTTAGGTTTTCATCTTTCATTTTATCCATTCTGGTTCTTTCTGTACTTAGACTACCCTTACAAAAAACAACACTCAGGTGAATTTGTTCTTTGTTGATTATACCATACACAGATTCTATCACATATTAGTAAGGACTGTCGCCTTCCATTAACTAGCACCCATTCATACATTGTTTACATTGACTCAAGGGTTCTGTTTAAAGATAGAAGAAGAAAACACCTATATATTTCTTTTCTCTTTTTTTTTTTGCAGGTTTTTGTTTTGGCCAGGGCTGGGTTTGAACCTGCCACCTCCGGCATATGGGGCTGGCGCCCTACTCCTTTGAGCCACAAGTGCTGCCCACACCTATATATTTCTTCTCATTTCTATTTCCTTAATGCCATTTTAGGAGTCAAGCAGCTAGTGAATTAGAATTAAGGCTTTCTGGCAGTGCCTGTAGTTCAGTGGGTAGGGCACCGGCCACATGCACCAGGGCTGGTGGGTTCGAACACAGCCCCAGCCTGCTAAAAACAAAAAAATAGCCAGGTGTTGTAGTGGACACCTGTAGTCCTAGCTACTTGGAAGGCTGAGGCAAGAGAATCACTGAAGACCAAGAGTTAAAAGTTGCTGTGAGCCGTGACGCCACAGTACTCTGGAGAGTGACAAAGCAAGCCTCTATTTAAAAAAAAAAAAAATTAAGCCTTTTTATATTATGTGCACATTTAAGAAACATCATAATTAAGAAAATAATTTCACCATACCTAACAGAAGAAGCCTTTTCTCTCACTGCACCTTGCTCCATTTCATCTAGTAGTTCCACTGTAAAATAACCAAATGGCTTCCAATAGTTTCCAATCTGAAAGCAATGAACCATTCCCAACCCCCACTCATCCCATTTGACTAAATACTGTAAATGGTAACTGGAAATGAAATTTCAGTCCCTAGAGGCTTTCACTGGCCAGAAATAAACAGAACAGAAAAGACTATCCCAAGTACTGAAGACTTGCAATCAACAGGTCCTTACATAGCTTCTTGGTTATTTAGAAACCTCTCTACATATTCCCTTTGCCCTTTTTGTTCCAGAGTGTCTTTCACACAAAACCTAGAGATTTTTTTCCACCAAACCCAATTGAAAGGCACCTTCCCTCACACTATGTACTGTTTCAGAGAGTTTCTCTTAAATCAAACACAGATCTGTCCCTAATGTTCTTGCAGGCTGGGGCATTAAAAATTCAGTAACATAAAAGGTAATAAAAGCTAAAATGGGGCTGAACCCAGTGGCTTATGCCTAAAATCCTAGCACTCTGGAAGGCTGAGATGGGTGGACTGCTTAAGCTCACACCTTGGAGACCAGCCTGAGCAAAAATTGAGGGTGTGGTGCCTGTGGCTCAGTGAGTAGGGTGCCGACCCCATATACCGAGGGTGGTGGGTTCAAACTGGGCCCTGGCCAAACTGCAACAAAAATAGCTGGGCACTGTGGTGGGCGCCTGTAGTCCTAAGCCCAAGAGCTGGAGGTTGCTGTGAGCTGTGATGGCACAGTACTCTACTGAGAGAGATAAAGTGAGACTATGTCTCTTTAAAAAAAAAAAGGGCGATGCCTGTAGCTCAGTGGGTAGGGCACCAGCCCCATATACCAAGGGTGGAGAGTTCAAACCCAGCCCCAGCCAAACTGCAACAAAAAAATAGCCAGGTGTTGTAGCGGGCACCTGTAGTCCCAGCCACTTGGGAGGCTAAGGCAAGGGAAGCATCTAAGCCCAGGAGTTGGAGGTTGCTGTGAGTTGTGTGACACCAGGGCACTCTATCAAGGCAATAAAGTGACACTCTGTCTCTAAAAAAAAAAAAAATCGAGACCCCCATCTCTACTAAAAATAGAAAAACTGAGGCAAGACAATCACTTGATACCAAGAGTTAGAGGCTGCTGTGAGCTATGACACAATAGCACTGTACCCAGGACTACAGCTTGAGATTGTCTTAAAAAAAAAAAAAGCTGGCTCGGCGCCTATAGCTCAACCGGCTAAGGCGCCAGCCACGTAC